ACAATACTTATGGTAGTGCAAAATAGAAAAGTGAAACAGTAAATTAATTAATTAGCCTAAGACTCATATTTAATAGAAGTAAAATATATATATAACACAACATTTAAGTGCTTTCCAGTTGAGGTGGACCTTTTAACGTGTGTGTATGCTTCTCCCTGAAGGCTGGTGGATGAAACCTTCACAGTGGACGAAGTGAAGGAGATGCTGGATGGGCTGCAGGTGGTGGTGCGTGGGGAGGTGGAGATGGAGCTCATCAACACAGCCCACACCAATGTGCTGCTGCTCAGGCAGCTCTTCTCACAGGCCGAGAAGTTTTATCTTCGACTGCAGAGCGATATCTCAGAGCTGGAGAACAGGTGAGCAGTGAGGGAGAGTCAGGTTCAGACGTACTGGTGATTGTTAATAGACTAAAAGCACCCAGGAAACATTCGATAAAAGGTGACATAGTCAGGTTTGCTCCCACAAGAGTACGAAATGTTCTCGTTCAGATATTATGAAATATACAGCGCTTCCAAAGTCCTCAAAGATAATATTTTTTATTTAGTGCGCAAAATGTTTATCTCGTTCTTATAAGATGTGGATCTTGCGCTCAAAAAATTATCTCTCTCGTCTTTGGCGGCTCTGATGCAATGACAGTAAGGCAGATTAAATTATATATTAAAAAAAAAGAATGATATGGAAAAAACATATTGTTATTATTTTGTTATTGTGGTTGTGATAGGAGTCATAAATACAGGGAATGGTGGTAATTTTTGCAATTTTCATGAAAACATTTGATATTTGTCGGAGTCTGTATAAAAAACAAAGATGTTTTCTGTTCATGTTTTACATCTCAAGATATTTTCAATTAATTGTGCTGCTCTAATTTTAAATTATGTGACGGGTCTCGGTCACACAGAGTACCACTCCAAGTAAGAAATGAACTAGGCCTCTAAATACGTAATACATGAACATGAAGGTGTACTCTGTGTACCACACCACTTCCTCACTGCTGTCAAGGCTCAGATCTCTTACATTTTACATACCAGGCAAAAAGGTCATTGCCAAGCCACAGAGTCGCACGCGCTATGTGAGTTTAACCCTTTTTTTTCCATTACAATGGTTTCCTCTTTGTAGTCACGTTCAGTTAGCCTGAACCACAACCTCTGCCACATTCTCTCTATATTTTAAGGTCAATTCACCCAAATTACAAAAAAAGATACTGTCAGTCTTCTACCATCAGCCCAATATAACAAAGGTAAGTAGAATGAATCTTAAAGTGTGGAAACTATTGATAGGCAGGCTTTTGAGGGCGCTTTTGAGTTTTTGAACTCTCCAAATAAAATTTTGGTTTCTATTAGGCTCTCAAATATTAAATTACAAAAGTCTAAGAAGATATCTAAAAAATGTTTCAACTAAAAGTAAAACAATCTGCTTTGCTAGTTAACACTAGAGATAAATGGAAAAACTCTGTACTCCTTACACTTCAATTTCAATTTTACGTATTCTTACACATTTATAATATCTATTGAACTGCTATTTAATTGGTTTTATTAATCAGTTATAAAGCTAATATTATTATTTTTTTCCCATAAGTCCATACAGTAAAACAGAATCACCTAAAAGACAAACTTCTAGCTGTTGTCACTAAGCAACAATGCCAAAAGGTGCCTTGGAGTGTTTTCTTTCCATATAACAGGCCTGAACATAGAGCGATGCGGGCACGTACATGTGATACCAATAATAAAGATAAATCACATTCGAGCTGTTGCCAGAATGTACTTTGCACTCTTGACATTTCGGCAAAGGATACATCAACGTTTTATTTGGCACAAATACAGTCAGGACTTGGTTGTTATCGAGATTAGCGATACGTCACAGAGCGGCAACTTACAGGAATCCGTGAAGCTTTTTCGAAAGGTTGGCTTTGAATTACAAATTTGAATGTCAGGTTGAAGCCCGAAGCACAAGTCATACTGTTCCTCTTTTTACCAGTGAGATTGAGGAAGCAAGACTTTTCCACATTCACTACATTCACAATATCTGATCTGATCTTCAGAGCAAAAGGTCATAAAATTCATACTTCTGCAGTGTATGAATTCTCACTGTTAACTTGTTATGAACTAATGCTAATAAAATAATTGTAAAGCTCCACAGTACAGGTGCACAGGTTTGAAAGTGCTTCTGTAATCATTCAGTTAATAATTCAATTAATAATTCAGTTCACCTTTAAGTAACATCTGACCTCTGTAACCTTTCACCTTGGTAAAACTCCGTGTGTGTTTTGGAAGAGTTTCTTTGTTTGTAATATGCACATAGTGGGTGGATAAACAAGCTCTAACCCTTTTTTTTACAGGGCCCTACGTGACTGATACTGTGTCTAAAGCAAGGAGTACGCCCCATGTCACACGCTACGTGTGTTCAGCTGCTTTTTTAAAAACCACATTTAAGCTTTTCAGAGAACTCTTCTGTTTACCACAAGCATATGTCTTATATCATAAGTGCTAAACTGCCATCAAGAACAAGGGTGTTAATTTTCATGCCAAAGATACATAACTGCCAAATTGGAGATTTAAATATCTACAAACATAAACATCAACATTGTGGTGGGAAGGTGACAGTTAGAGATACTACAGATGATGAGATAAGTTTCTATTCAGTGTTGCTCACAAAACATCGACAATAACTTTCTGTAATTTGTGTTTTACAGACGGAGGTTTCATTTGAATCTTAAAAAATTGATTTGATAAGATTTCAAACTTTTTTGTATTCCGTTATTCCGTTTCTTAATTATTCTGCCACCAATTCTCATCTCTTTCTACCCGTATAGGGAGCTGTTGGAACAAGTGGCTGAATTTGAGAAGACCGACTTTAAAACCACCGATAAGGTGAGCGTAATGTGCAGCTCAATCACAGGTAGACCTTCAAACGTCCCCGTTAATGTAGATGTCATTAATCATGTGTTCAAAGGATATTTATGCCCACGTGGAATTCAGTAACTAGAGAGCAGTGCAGCGTTTCTTTGCATTTTCAGTAGTTTTATGTCAGGCCGCCTGCCCTTCACACACAGAAGTTACACATCACTGAGGTTGACATGTGGTTTTATGATGCACAGAAAAACAAAAATCGACTTTGTAATGCGATACGCCGCTCTTTCATGGGTTTAGCTATTCACACCTTTCTGAAAAGGTAGAGCCTATGGTAACACTTACCACCAGAAAATCAAGACTAGACAGATATAAAAATGCGTCTCGTGTTCACAAAATTAGCAAGATACAGCCGACATGTTTTAACAGTTAATATTGCCCCGTCATTGTTATAAAGTTGTAAATTGTTAACTTTATTCCTAGATAAACCAGGAAACAAGCAAACCCAAGCTAGCGCCTCTGAATGAAGGTGGAGTGTCTGAACTTCTTAACAAGGTAAAGAAATGTATTGCATGAATTATATTTACAGATTAATTAAAGAATTATCGTATTCATACACTCATTAACACCTACCTTGATATTTCTTCAGGAGATAACGAGACTACAGGAGGAAAATGATAAACTGAAAGCCAGACTGCGGACTTTAGAATCTCAGGTATAACAATTAGCCATATGTTTTTTAAACGCAACGCCTCTTGTTTATGTTGTTAACTTTGTGCTCTGATTAATTCTCTTAGGCAATGAGCGCGCTAGATGAGAAAACCAAGGCAGAGAGAGCTCTGAAAGACCTTCAGAAGGTGCACGGTGAACAGCAGGTACTGTTTGGAGTCTTCTTCTCTTGTGACATTTTGAGTTTGCTTTTCATTTTGCTATTGCTTTGCATCTGAAAATGTGCTGTTATTTGGTTTTATCTGCTAACTCGGACCTCAAATGGTATGTATCCAGCTGACCACTCTGTTGCTTTTGTCTGTCACCGTTTATAGAAATAGGGTAGACATTAAGTAGTGTAAAAATGTAGTCGCAGTTAAGCTAAGTTAAGATTGAATTCAATCATAACTTGTGTGTTGTTTCTTTTACCTTCAAGCTGGCTGCTAAATCCCAGGAGATCAGCAGTCTCGAGGACACAGTGGAAGCTCTAAGGGAGGACTATGAACGGTCTCTTAGTGCCAACGCTGTCTCCCAGAAGGATCTGCAGGAGAACCTGATTTCATCCAAACATGAGCTTCTGCGAGTGCAGGAGCAGCTGGCCATGGCAGAGAAGGTACGTCACTGTGGCGTTTACCTGCAACTGACCGTAACCAGCATCGGAAATTAACACCCAGAAGTGTTCAAATATGTTGGAACTTGTTATACTGCTCAGTTTGGTGCGTTTTTAAGACCGTTGGTATAGGTGCATTCAGTTTCTGTGCCGTCATTTTCATATGGTATGGTGTGCAGGAGTTGGAGAAGAAGTTCCAGCAAACTGCGGCCTACCGCAACATGAAGGAGATCCTAACCAAGAAGAATGAGCAGATCAAAGATATTAGAAAACGATTGCAGAGGTAAGCAATGCGAATATCATCTCCCTCCAGAGTCTTCCATTCTTAGAAGGGCAATAACTGCCTGACGAATATATGGACACGTCAAAAAACTTGAAAACACTACAAACAAATCATCATTTCAATCATTTTTACTTGTAAAAATAGCTTTTTTACAAAGAAATGTGTCTAATTTCAGATTTGTACTGCTTGTCTGTTTCAGATATGAACCCAATGAATGAGCTCTACCCAAGACAGCTGGTTAAACAGGTGTCCAGAGGGTGAGACAGGAAAATTTATGACTTGGACAAGAGACCATCAGCTCTACTGCTGTAAGACAAGAGAGACAGAAAAAAGCACTTCCATGAGGAATTGTTTATTCATGCTTTATCTGGCATCTTCAGTAGTTATTGGCTTTAGTAAAGAGCTGGCGCGGGGAGGTCGGCACACAACTGAACACGAAAAATGAAGTAGTGACAAATGATAGCCTTTTTCAGCTGTGCTTTTTTTTCTACGTCTCAATTTGGGGCTCACTTACAGTAGCTAGCAGACTTCCCTCAGTGCTCTATGCAATTACTATCACGTCCCTATTTAAAGAGGCCTTGTCCATTTGCTGAATTGGACAGATATGTACTGTCTGCCTGAAGCTTTGCAGTCTTATCTAATCAGATGGTTATAGGTATATGTTTAGCTTTCTAGCACCAGGTAATTGATTATTGATATTTTGCTGATCTGTCTTAATTTTAGCAGCCCCTTTTGTAGTGAAACATGATTGAGTTAGACCCAAGCAATCCCCTAGCCAGTTTCATTTTTTTTTATTATTAATAGCGAGCAGCTCTGAAGTCAACCCTTTGCTTTAATTTGTTACCTAAACACTTTTCTCACACAAATATTTCCAATGATCTGACATTCTGTGAAAGTCTGATCATCGAAAATATACCAGATTACTTAGTGCGTTCATTTTTTCTGCTCTTGCATATAGAGTGACATGGATAGTGATCTAAAACGATTTCCCTACTTCCCTACACAAAGGGCATAGAATATTTTTGTCTGGAATCTTTAACTGTGTACTTTTCGTATTGCTGTGGGTGATGGAGTGTAACAGAAAAAAAAATAAATATATACATGATGTTCATGAAGTAATGCTCTTGTAGAGTATGATACATCTACCCTATATTACACTAGATGTGCATTTGTTTGTATTGTGCAAAGTATGGGGTAATAAAAGCTGTTACCAAATACAGTGTATGTGTGGTGATCGTTTTTAATTTTTCACTTTGGGTTGAGGGTATATTTGTTATCTTTTCATCTAAACATCAAGTGAATTCACTGGGTTGAAATTTGCATTCTAACCTATGATTTCATTCTAATATTCGACCTGTGCTACATGTTCTGGCCTTTATGGAAATATCAAACAGTAAATATCCCCTGTGAAGGACTGAAAACATGCCTCATGATGTTTTGACACCGATAAACAATAAGGTGGAAGAATTAAGAGGAAATAATAGATAATGACAGAGCTGACTGGTACAACAAGGGGGCGCCATACTGCAATAGTACTGCATAGATCACTGAAGTGTATGCCTTTCTTCATAGACGATGAAAGGCTGCACAGTTACATGGTGTGGGACTGTATGATCTCAGTGTCAAAATATGGCCTCAATTCATGCAATTAATTTTAACAATTATAGATATTTAAGAGGATTTAATATGAGCTGTTTTCAAATTTAAACTGCAGAGTGTATTAACAATAGTATGGTTTCACAGGCCAAATACATCTATGACTGCTCCAGTGTCTTTGTTTTCATACATAGGTTTTTTAATCTCTAAGTGGCTAAAGCTTGACCACTTTCTGCATGCATGCAGTTTAGCAGTGCAATGGAGTATTTGTTCTGAATTTTAACACATTTAATCACTTCATCTGCTACTTAGTCTCCAGAAAAAGACTTGTTTTTGCTATGTTAACCCAATTGATTGAGATACTGGCCACCAGTCAACCGTCAACCCCCTTGTTGTTTTCTGTGAAACTCTTCAAGCCACAGTCTGTCCTTATATAAACCTGCGTTGGTTTTGTACCATGTGCAGAAGCTGTGTGCACTTTTCTTCCTATAGGTGCAGAAAAGAAGGGGGTGGGGTAATGAAAAAAACAAGTGGTTCAAACAATATTCTTTAAATTTTGTTTTGTTTTCCTGTCAAAACACAAGAGATAAAAGGTGATATGTGTATGAAAAGATGTATCTTACCCCCCCTGTTTATTCCCATGACAAAATAATGAACAGTAAAAGGAGGTTATTATGTTGCATTTGTGTGACTATACATGGGAATTCATATTTGCTTGCGTGCATCTGTTTATTACCAGCAGCTTAACTGTCATGGGAAAACTGCTGATAATTTCACAAAGGATGCAAAGACTGAACAGTTGTCTACCAGTGCATGAAATAAATCACTGCGAGTAGGTACAGGAAGTGGTGACAAATTTCTCTCAGAACCAAACTCCATTTCTTGCACTGCTGAGAGCAGCAACAGTGACAGTAATTTCGCTCAATACGGGGCAACTGTTAATATATGTCAGTCAGACGTGCGTGTATCCATTCAGTGGTTTCCAGCTTAGGCATCAAAGGGGTTTTCTCAGTTTCATTGGCAAGACAGAAGCTTCTGTTGTTTGGTTTTTCGCCAGAATCATCAAGCAGACCCTTTACTGGAGAAATATGGAGGAACTGAAAATCACACCATCAAACAGTTAAAAGTTAGCTTTAACTTTTCGGTCATTCGTAACTCCACTTGCCACAAATGTCAACCCGGAATGTGACACTTGAGAAAAAGCCCACAGTGCATTAAAGTTGTTAGGATTCATCTTCCAGAAACCACGAATGTCTGTACAAAGTTCACAGCAATCCATCCAATAGTAGTTCAGATAGTTCAATCTGGACCAAAGTGGCGTGCCAACAGATGGAGTGGCTGACATTGCGATGTCTATAGAGCCACACCACTGATGGTTTTTAAAGATTTCCTCATCTCTGTGACAAATTTGGCTCCCCAGCTTTATCTTATGATCAGTAGGCCATGACTATATACATGTGGGTTG